TCCAGTTCTTAATGTATAATTAAATGAATGTGCTCTGACATTCCCCACCTGTATAGAAAAACTGTGGGTAGAAGAAGCTTTTCAAATGTAGTCAGTAATATAAACAGAGAAAATAACCAGTAAAAAAAAATCAGAAGGCCCCTTTTTGAAACTTTTTTTAGAATCATTTGTCCTGAGAGACTGTCTTCTTGGTGGCATCCATTGCCAGCAATGTACATATCAAAACTGCCAGCACCAAGGAGCTAATTACCATATTTAGCTTACTTCTAAATAAGTAACTTCCATCTTATGAATCAAATTCCTTTAATGATTAACCCTTCCACTTGACTACTTTCTAACAGTTATATTGTCACAGCCAGTTAACAGCAGATTTGAACAGAAGGTGCAAGCTTAATAACAGAGTTTATACAGATCATTGACAGTTTGGGTGGCAACATCTCAAAATGCTTGTTCCTAGTGTTGGTCTGTGCAGCTCTCAGTTTAGTAGCATTTTGTGGAAGTTCACCTATTAAGTATTTTGGGATTTCAAATTATAATTATATACATGCCAGTCAAAAAAAAATCTAGCCATACTTTCTTTATGCAAGCCGTTGTCATCTGGACTTAACACGGTATGAATTAGATTCATGTACATATTGTTTGGCCAGTAGGCCGCCAAGTGTACTTGCATAAAATCCTTGCCTTTTAAAGTAGCTTGTACATTTTAAAACTTTCTAACATTTTCTGAAATGGCTAAAATTAAAGTTATCATTAAAATCTTCAGCTATATTCTTACTCAGCTGTCAATATGGCACAGATTATTACTATATTCTTTTAATCTTTATTTATCTTCCATGGTGACTTAACTTCATGTGTTGCTACAAAGATTTGCAGATGTCTTTAATCAAGCACTATTTGTTAATACTGTACTATCAATATTATGTTGCATTATTTAAAAACATTCAAATTTAATAGATGAAAAAGTTTTAAATGCTATTGCACCATTTAATTTGCTGCACAACAGTCTATGGCATAGCATATCAGTCTGTTAATATTATCCATGTAATTGTACATGAAACAATATTTTGGCCTGGGTTTCCTCTAAGAACTCAGTTTCTCAAAGTTAAATTATATGACAAACTATCTTGACAGAAATTCTAAAGTGAAAAATTAATTACTTTAATCTTAATTGAAAGATATAGATCTATGTCTGATATTTAGAAAATCTTATATGTGGGTGTACTTTATTTTCAATTGAGTGAAACTTCATTTACAGTAAAACTGGATTTGGGACCTACAATAATCCTCAGGGTCACTTTTTCAGGAAGTTTTAATATAGCTTTAGGTTTTCCAAATAAACTGGATTTGAGGACCTTGAAAAGCTATTGGATTTAAATTGCAAATTGTGGCATCATTACTGGACATGTCAATTTCATAAATCTTCTCAAAATAGCTGGGTCACTTTAAGGGAAGTTTTTAAGGTTTTGCTCAGCAGTGACGTTTAATGGTCCAAGTCGTCTTATTTAATATGACATAAAATCAAATAAGGAACAAACACTATTGCTGCCGAATGCCATAAACACTGAGTTGTACAAATTGTGATTGAGGAAATGAAAAAAGTTTATACTTTTAAAAAAAAAAATTCAAATGGAATAAATTATTCATGAAGCCTTGATTGTGGCGTCTCTCTTTATTTCCAACACTCAACTGTACGATCCTCTCTGTGTTCCCTCCAACCTTTTCCACTCATGTACAGGATTTTTCCCATTAATATATAGAATACATTTTTTATGTGCACCAAGATGTATCTGTGAATTGCTACTAGAAACACATGGGCTACGTCTAGACTGTGTGATTTTCCGCAAATGCTTTTAACGGAAAAGTTTTTCCGTTAAAAGCATTTGCGGAAAAGAGCGTCTAGATTGGCACGGACACTTTTCCACAAAATCTAGACACGGTTTTGCACAAGAAAGCCCCGATCACCATTTTCATCATCGGGGCTTTTTTGCACAAAACAGTTTTTAGCTGTCTACACTGGCCCTCTTGTGCAAAAACATTTCCGGAAAAGGGCTTTTGCCCGAATGGGAACGTCGAAGCATTTGCGCAAGAAGCACTGATTTCGGACCATAGAACTTCAGTGCTTTTGTGCAAAATCAAGCGGCCAGCGTAGACAGCTGGCAAGTTTTTGCACAAAAGCCACCGTTTTTGCAGAAAAACTTGCCAGTCTAGATGCAGCCAAACTGTACTCTAATGAGCTGAGTGGCATTTCAATCTCTCCTGAGTTGCCACATGTGTATCTAGCTTATAGGGAACACTGCTCTCTCTACAACAGGAAGGAGTTGTAGCTTATTGAAGATGACTAAAATAAAAGCATTTTTGCAATGTAGCATAGACACAAAATACACAAAAACCTCAGGGTTAGGACCTTCAGAATTACAAACTAACCCATCAACCACACCCCTTGTTTGGAACCAGAGATATGCAATGACATGTGTATCTAGCTTATAGGGAACACTGCTCTCTCTACAACAGGAAGGAGTTGTAGCTTATTGAAGATGACTAAAATAAAAGCATTTTTGCAATGTAGCATAGACACAAAATACACAAAAACCTCAGGGTTAGGACCTTCAGAATTACAAACTAACCCATCAACCACACCCCTTGTTTGGAACCAGAGATATGCAATG